AAAAAAAAAAGAGAAGAGGATAGAGAAAGATAGCAAGTGAACAATAGAGGGGATGTTAGTGAGAAACAGATATGGTTTATTATCTGTTGAAGATGACGTGTATAGTATTCTCAACTGGACTGGTCTGGGAAGTATTTCATGATGGGTGAAGTCTTTTAACAAGCAAAATGAGAAATAGTGATTGACTGTTTTAAAAAATTATAATAATAATAATTATTGGGAAATGCATGGAAAAGACTTTGAATGATAAAGCGGGGAGATCGATGCCTCTGTATTGACTGACATGCATGGCATTCCCTTTTGAAAAAGCAATGGAAGTCAATGTAAAGTTATATGTAATCCAATGTAATATAAAGAAGATTATGATAAAAAAAAAAAAACCTCAGAAAAAAAAAAAAAACTGAAGATGTTTATGCCCGAGACGAAACAGGATTCCATTTAGGCAAGAGGTGTGCTTATGTGTGCACAGTGAAACACCACACAGGGACTCCTGGTGGCAAGCAGATAAAACCAGGGTAAAGTGGGGAACGGTCACCCCTGCCCATGGAAACACTGGCATCGCCTGAGCCAGATTCCAAAGCCACCTCCCTGCTAGGGCCATTGCACACAGAATCCGTGTGACGCTCTACCCTTAAGGATTTAAAATAATGAGAAGTAAATGAATAAAAAAGGATCCGTGCTGTACTTTTAAAATTCATTAATTAATTAAAAAGCCGACTTTGAGTTTTATGGTAAGCTTTACTTGAAAATGTTAACAAACTGTATAAAACGGTTCTCTTCTTTTTCAGTAACACATAAAAGAATTAAAGGGACATAGATGTTATCTTTTAATTATTTGTATAAAAGAAAATTTGAAATAAAATCGTAATGCTTGCAAACTGTGTAACTCTCATTAGCATTTTAAGTTATTCAGCCTCAGTCCTTAATCCCTTCCCGCCACAGCTCATACAGCCAGGGAGTGGGAACCCCAAGGGGAGCGGGCCCTGGGCCTCAGGAGATGACAGTCTCTCAGGGGCGTGAGGCGCTCAGTGACCATTACAAAGCGTGTGTGTGTGTGTGTGTGTGTGTGTGTGTGTGTGTGTGTGCTCACGCGCCACAATGCACACACAAAAAGTGACCGAGTTCTGGAAAAATACAGGACGGTTTTCCCCAGAGAAAAGATAAAGAGGGGTCACGGTAAGAGGGTCAGAGGAGAAGAGCGAGGTGGTCCCCAGGGGGAGTGGAGGGTGGGTGCAGGGCACAGAGGGCTGGGGAGGGGGTGCCAGGGAGCTGGGAGGGAGAGGCAGCAGCCTGCAGGGAGCATCTTCAACTTCATCCTAAACACAACGGGAAGCCTCCAGGGGGCTTTCGGCAAGGGAAAAATTTAATTTGTGCTTTCAAACCTTTCCTTTTAAACTGGACCACAGATAAAACAAAAAAGTATGAGGGACCCACAGTGGCATAATGAGTACATCACTGCACTCCCATGTAGGCAACTGCAGTTCGAGGCGTGAACCTGGTGGTTTAAACCTCATGTTGGGCATGTGTGTGCGTGCGTGCCCAAGATCCTGAGAGGAGAATGGAGGAGAAGGGACTGTGGTGTGGCCATCCCCCCAGGGGTGATTTCTCGCTTTCTGTCTCTTTCTGTCTCTCCACTGAGGATGCGCTCTATAGCAAAAACCTCTCAAAAAAAAAAAAAATGTAGGGCCAGCAGGTGGCATGGTGGTTAAGGGTACTGGACTCCCACATGGCTGACCTTGGTTCAAGTCTCAGACCTGGCAGCTTGCCTTCTCACTTTCTTTCTCTGTCTCTCTGATCAAATTAAAATGAATGAATGAATGAATGAATGAATAAAGTTCAATAAAATCATTTTTAAAAAATGTATATTATCAAGTCCCATCAATGCCAAGTAGCTGAAAGAAAACTAATCAAACCTTTACCTCCTTTTCCACTCAGCACCCACCAGCACGTCTTTTTTTTTGGAGAGATTTTTCACTGTAGGGCGTGTGCGCTCGCCAGACAGAGAGAGACATAGAGACAGAAAGCGAGAAATCACCCCCCAGGGGGGATGGTCACGCCGCAATCCCTTCTCCTCCATTCTCCTCTCGGGATCTTGGCCACGCACGCACACGCGCCCGGCGTGAGTTTTAAGCCACCAGGTCCGGGACACGAACCGCGGTCGACCACGTGGGAGTCCAGCGACATAGCTATTACGCTAACTGCTGGTTCCCAGCACATCTTTTTTTTGAGAGCGAGAGATGCCCCGAGCATCATCACAGCACACGGAATGGGATTTCCCATCCAGTGGCCTCATCGTGCATGCTATCGTCAGTCATTTCCCATTTCTAGTTTCATGTATATATATCCTTTTTAAAAAAATTATTTTATTTAACTTTATTTTTTATTCATTTATTTATTTAAATTTGACCAGAGAGGGACAGAGTGAGAGAGAGAGAGAGAGAAAGTGAGAAAGCAAGCCGCCAGGTCCAGGACTTGAACCACGGTTGGCCATGTGGGAATCCAGCACCTTTAACCACCAAGCCACCTGCCAGCCCCTCATGTATATATATCCTTATTTCTCACCCTCTGCCATTCCCCACCCTCCTCCTACACTATCTGAGGTGTCTACAGTTGTTTTATATTCCCTTTTTGCCCCTCATTTTATTGATTCACAGAATTTCTTTTTCTTTTTTTTTTTTTTTTGAGAGGTTTTTGCTATAGGGCCAACGCCCTCTAAAGACAGAGACAGACAGAGACAGAAAGCGAAAAATCACCCCCCAGGGGGGATGGCCACGCCACAATCCCTTCTCTTCCATTCTCCTCTCGGGATCTTGGGCATGCGTGCACATGTGCCTGGCACGAGTTTGAAGTCACCGGGTCTGGGACTCAAATCGCGGTTGACTACGTGGGAGTCCAGCGATGTAACCATCACACCATCTGCTGATCCCAGGGAAATAGTTCTTAACTTCTATCTTTTGCTTCACCGTGAGTCTTACAGAACCTAATCTTTGACCTCCGTCACAGTAGAGGGGAGCCTGAGGCTTAACTGATGTGAGTTAACAGTAACCTTGCGGGTCTCTGCAGATGGCTGACTGTGGAGACATTGGGAGGGGGAGAAGCCACCATCCCTCCACATGATGAAGACTTGATCAGCTCAAACATGGCGAGCCACATGAACCAGGACCCGAGAGTGGTCCTGACCGACTCAATTTGCTTCCACTGCCTTGTTATCACTGCTTATCTTTAAGCCCCTTATCGAGAATGGAAACCCGACATTCTGCCCTGCCCTGTGTGCCCAGAAGGGAACCTGCCCCCACGCAGGGATCACCTCAGTGCTGTCAGGTCCCGTAATCCTGCCAAAGACAATGACCAGACCCCCTGTGCATTCTCCCCTGAGACAGGGAATAGCTCCCCCGGTTTCAGACACCCTCTCCCCCGGTAGGTCTTGCGTTCTGTCCAGTACCGCGGAGACAGTGTGGACTCAGTTCACACCCTCCCCAGTGCTGGCCTCACTGAGTTCTTGTCTCATCCACTAAGTCTCACCTCTTCATGCTGGCGGCTTGAACCGGATTTCAGATGCCCCAGATGAGCAGCCCTGCACCCTGGCATCATATCCGGCCTGAGGCAGCGCTCCTCCATTCAAGAAGAAACCGACTCTTCTTTCTCTGAACATTCCCATTAGAGTCTAGCAGACAAGGGGGCGTGGCAAACGCCTGCGAGAGTCAGGAGTAGTCCACACAGCGGGTGCAAAGATGAGACGGAGCCACCAACCGCTCCCCTCTGCAACACTGGAAGTGACTCCCTCTGCCTGCACGGTCTGCACACTCAAGGAAGTGGGGAATGAACTCTCGGCCTGGCGATCATTTCTAAAGGGCTCTTGGTGCACGCTCCCGTGAATGCCCCAGCAGTGTTCTGCCAGGGTTCCTTTGCACACGCTGGTCCCTAAGCTGTATTTTGGCAGCACATGACTCGGAGTGTCCCCACCTTGCCAAGAATGCCACTCTGCTGCCATGTGAGAATGCACACCAGGGACCAGCAGTTAGCGTAATGGCTATGTCACTGGACTCCCATGTAGTCGACCGTGGTTCAAGTCCCGAACCTCGTGGCTTAAACTCACGCCAGGTGTGTGTGCGTACATGCCTAGGATCCCGAGAGGAGAATGGAGGAGAAGGGACTGCGGCGTGGACATCCCCCCTGGGGTGATTTCTCGCTTTCTGTCTCTCTGTCTCTCTGGTGAACACATCAAACAGTTATTGAAAGTTTGTTGGGACCAGCAGATAGCATAGCAGTTATGTTGCTAGACTCCCACATGGATGACCACGGTTCAAGTCCCAGACTCGGTGGCTTCAAAATCATGCCAGGTACATGTGCGTGAGTGCCCAAGATACCAGGAGGCGAATGGAGGAGGAAGGACTGTGGTGTGGCCATCCCCCCTAGGGGGTGATTTCTAACTTTCCATCTCACTGTCTCTGTCTTTCCCTCTGGGGAGCACATGTGCCCTAAGGCAAAAAAGTCTACCGACAAAGAAAAAAAAAAAAGAGAGAGAGAGAGAGAATCCACACCAAACCCCTCAGCTCTGCCGGAGGCTAATGTCAAACCATCGTGTCTTAAAGCACACTCCCACCGACAGACCTTGCTGTGAGGAAAAGATATTCACCCCACAGCTGACACGTCTCAGGCCTGTGGCTGAATCACCACTGGACGATAATATAACTGACGGTAATAATATATTACTGTTATTTTTTAAAAAGATACTCCAGGATTACCTAGTATATGTCCTGCCCTAGACCTGGAATAGCCACTTATCTAAGAAGCTGTTCCCTTAAAGGGAAAGATTGTTTCAGTACAAGGGTTCTCAGTCCTACCAGCTTGACCGTTGTTTCTAGGCCTTTCAGTGGGCAGAAACGGTATCTAATCACTTGCCTGCACTTACAGACGTATAAAAATAAATACGAGTGTAGATGTGGAATGGAAGAGATCAAGGTGTCAAGAATCACTTTAAATTTCTGTCCTGAGCGATTCCTGCCATTCTAAGATGTGGAAAGCTGCAGGAGAGGCCAGACTGGGCTTGGAAGGGAAGTATGGTTTTATCTGAGACGCCTGCTAGACCTCCGAGCAGTGGCACCATGCCACAGGTGGACACTGAGAATTCCAGTAAGACGTCGGGACTGGGGATGAAGCTGGGTCATCAGTAAACAGGTGGAACTGGAGCCACGGGCTGGGCACAATCGTCCAGAGATGGTCCTGGCTGTGTGGCTCCCCAGCCGTGTGGCTCCCTGGCCGCGTAGTTACCTGGCTGCGTGGTTACCCGGCCCGCGTGGATAACCCGGCCGTGTGGATTACCTGGCTGTGGTTCCCGGCTGTGTGGTTACCCGGCCGCATGGTTACCCAGCCGTGTGGATTACCCAGCTGTGTGGTTACCCGGCCACGTGGTTACCCAACTGTGTGGTTACCCAGCCGTGTGGATTACCCGGCCATGTGGTTACCTGGCCATATGAATTACCTGGTTGTAAACATTTTCATGGGATTTAGGAAACAACCAAAATCAACAAGGAGAAAGTTTATAAAAGGCCGAACTGTAATAGAACATCTGCACTTTCTTCCTCTCGGAAGGGTGGGACATACCTGGTGAGCAACTTCCACTCTCACTGACTCCAGGAAGCCAGGATCCGTTGGGTAAAGGGCACAGGCAAACATAAAATCCTGCCATACCTATCAAAGCAAAAAAAGGTGATAAAGCACCTGCGCAACTTTTATTACCATACAGGGAAAGAAAGTCTTCCCTCTGGAGGCCAGCAGGTGGCGGGGTGGTTACGGCGTCATACTCTCACCTGGCCAATGCAGTCTACCCCGTGGCTTGAAAATCATGCCAGACACACGTGCGTGCATGCCCAAAGTCCCAGGAGGAGAATGGAGGAGAAGGGACTGCTGCATGGCCATCCCCCGCCCCAGGAGGGGTAATTTCCCACTTGCCCTCTCACTGTCTCTCTGAAGCGAGTACTCACAACCTATGGCAAAACAAACAAACAAAAATCTTAAAAAATAAAAAGTCTTCCCTCTGAAGCTTGGGGATTATCCACTGCACAAGTGGAAAACTAAGTTAGCCTGATGCTGGTGGTCAGCTGGGCGACAATGCATGAAGGCCCGGAAAAATTGCTACAGACCTGGAACTTCACAGAATTGCACAAAACTGCAGGAAACAAGCAGAGAGATGCTACGTATGCATAAAAGAAAGGGGGGAAAGGGAATTCACAAAGGAAATAGTGAATATGCTGAAGGGAACAGGAAGCTTCTCTCCCATGGCCCCCCTAATTCCTTCACCAGCCAGGCGGTATTGACAGTTGTGTCAAACTGTTAAGAATCCTGCCTTGGGGGACCAGCAGTGGCATGGTGGCTAAGGGCACTGGACTCTCATATGGCCAACCACGGTTTGAGTCCTGGATTTGGCGGCTTGCTTTCTCACTTGCCCTCTCCTCTCTCTCTCTCTCTCTCTCTCCCTCTCTGGTCAAATAAAAATAAATTAATTAATTTAATTAAATATAATAAGTTTAAAAAAAAAATAAAGGAATCCTGCTTCATTGATAAAGGAATCACTTTCTATGGCCAAAAGGCCCACCTCGTGCTCATCTTAGAAACCACACTATGGGTACCGCTCCCTCGGGAGCCTGAACGCCGGGAGGTCAGGAGCGCAGCCCAGAAGCAGCCCGCCTGAGTCACCCCAGATTCCACCAAACGGGCTGTGTGGGTTTGGGCAAGTTACGTAACCCCTCCGGTGTCAGCTTCCTTACCTGTCGATGAGGAAGGGCACAAAGATAACCTACAACTAATACGCGTAGAACACGGACGTGGCTGGGTACGATGAGGTCCGGGACCTCGCCATCGTACTCACGACACCACTTTAGAATCATCGTAATTCCTATTCTTCTGTGGTGCGCCTCCTACTTTAGACTTGTGACGTTAGAACTAAAAGAATGTACTTCCTGAGCTAGCAGGTAGTGTAGTTCAAGTCCCGAACCCAGCAGCGTGGAAAACAAGCCACGCATGTGTAGGTGTCTGCCCAAACTCCCAAGAGAAGAACGGAGAAGGGACTGCAGTGTGGCCATCACCCATGTGGAGTGGTGATTACTCACTCCCTCACTCTCTCTTTCTCTGTCTCTTTCTGGTGAGTTCACGCACCTTATAGCAAACTAAAAATACATATACTACCGGGTCCAGCAGATGGCATAATGGTTACATTGCTGGACTCCCATGTAGTCTACTAGAGTTTAAGCCCTGGACCCAGTGGCTTAAAACTCATGCCAGGTATGTGTGTGTGTGCATGCCCAAAATCCCAAGAGAAGAAGGAATTGCGGCGTGGCCATCCTCCTGGGGGGTAATTTCTCGCTTTCTGTCTCTGTCTCTCTATAGCAAAAATCTCTCTAAAAAAATAATAAAAAATATATGCATATATTTCCTTTGCTTAATCTGCACCATTACAAAATAGGTTGAGAGTTCTTAACATTAAGTACACTTTTTTTCATTTTATTTTTCCTCTCTCTAGGTTATGTTAGAACTTCTTAAAGTTAAATTTTTAAATTTTTTTAGAATTTTTAAACTTTCTTTCTTCCTTCCTTCCTTCCTCCCTTCCTTCCTTCCCTTCTTTTTTTCTTTTTAATTTAACCAGAGAAGGACAGAATGAGAGGGAGAGAGAAGGAGAGAGAGGGAAAGTGAGAAAACAAGCTGCCAGGTCTAGGATTTGAACCGTGGTCGGCCATGTGGGAGTCCAGTGCCCTTAACCACCATGAACTGCCAGCCAAAAAATTTTATTATTTTTTCTCTTTTATGTATACCTACATATTAGACAGAAAATTACAAAGAAAATGTAGACAGACATAATTAGATCTAACTAACATATAGAATGTTTATCATTTGAAAATAATTTCATAATTATGATATTCACTGTCAACTCCGGCTCAAGGTTTACAGGATGCTGCTCATTCCTTTAGCAAACACCGGAGCATCATTGCGGGCTGAGGAAAGCAGGAACCATGCCCTCCTCAGAACAGCAGAGGTCTCACTGAGGGTACAGATACCTGCTGATATAGAAAGTGCTGTCGGCTACTCACCATTATCCCAAGTTCATCACAGAGTTCATAGAACTCATCCTGCTCGTAAATCCCTCCTCCCCAGACGCGAAGAGCATTCATGTTAGCGTCCACGACAGACTGCAACAGGAGCCGTAACCTACAGAGGCAATTTCAAAAATAAATGCTAATTTGGAAACTTTGGAATGCCAAAAGAAAACAAGTAAAAGCATATCCTGGCAAATAAACGGAAGTCAAATCTGTTAGAAAAACACACTTTGGGGGTTGCATGGGGGCACTCTGGGAGGCTGATCCATGCAGAAAAGTCCCAGAGTTGCATCCAGAGGACCCCAAGCACAGGGGGACACATGTGTGCCGGTAATCTCAGGGTGACTAAGGTGGGGGGATTGCAATATCAGGACCCTGTTTGGAGGTGCCATCTCGCTGCCTCTCTCTGTCTTTTGTACTCATGGAAGATAAAACTTAATAAACTTAAACATGGAAATCAGGATAGTTTGGACATATGCTAATGAAACAAAATGACATAAAGTTGGTATGCAGGGACTTCGAAAAGTTTGCAGAAAAATTGAGTTAAAGTACTAGTTTATTTTGGTGCAAAAGATTTTTTTTTTTTTGAAGAATTACTTATTTGGGGCCAGCAGGTGGTGTGTGGTTAAATGTGCTGAATCCTACATGGCCAACCATGGTTTGAGTCCCAGAACTAGAAGCTTGCTTTCTGCTTTCCCTTTCTCTCTGTCTCTCTCTGGTTAAGTTCAAAATTAATAATAACAAACGGAAACAAATAATTCTCTAAAAAAATTACTTAATTGTATTTGTTATCATTATTATTATTTTAAATTTGATCAACAAGAGAGAGAGAGAGAGGGAAAGTGGGAAAGCAAGTCACTGGGTCCAGGACTTGAACTGCAATCAGCTATGTGGGAGTCCAGCACCTCAACCACCATGCCACCTGCTGGCCTGAAGTGCAAAAGAAATTTTACAACCTATGCATAATTTTTTCTTTTCTTTTTAAGAATTGTTTTATTTAACTTTATTTATTTATTTATTTATTTATTTATTTATTTATTTATTTTAATTTGACCAGAGAGGGACAGAGTAAGAGAGAGAAGGAAAGTGAGAAACAAGCCAACAGATTCGAGACTCGAACCACAGTCGACCATTTGGTTGTCCAGCACCCTTAACCACCATGCCACCTGCTGACCCTATATGCATAATTTTTTCTTAATATACTTTTTCCAAATCCCACCCACATTACTCTCAAGAAAACTGAGAAATTCACAGCCAGCCTGAGGCATATCCCCTCCTTCCCTCCACAGAACACTGCCCAGGAATGAATTAGGAAGACAAAAACAGGCTGGCTGGGCTCCCAGCCCCGTGCTCCCAGCACCAGCACCGGGCAGAGCCCAGGTGTGGAACAGCCCAACAGCCACAGCCTAACCAGCCAGGAGGGGACATGCATTTAGGGAAAAATAAAAACTAATAACCAAAAAACCAGGTGGAGCAAAATATCCTATGTCTCTGTCTCTGTCTGGAGAAGAATTTCATTTTCTACTGAAATCTAAAATAATGCACACTCTTTGAAGTAAAAGGAAATGACTGCCACTGTTGGCAAAATTCGAGTTTAGTTCCTAACCACATTTATATTCTAAACATCAAACACCGTATCAGTACCGAACGCATACTGATATATTTGTAAATAGGCTTAAATGTTACTTAAGCTAAATAACAGATAGGTGAACACTGTGTTTATTTTCACTTAGCAAAACTTATTTTCACTAGCACAGAGAGCAGTTTACATACTCAATTTTAAAAAATTTATTTTTTTCTAAATTTCCATTCTCAAACCTCCAGAAAATAAAACTTAAAAAAAAAAATTTTTTTCTAGATGTAAATTTTTTTAGGATTTTAATTTTTTTTAAGATTTATTTATTTTACTTAACTTTGCTATTATTTTTCATTTTACTGCAGAGAGACAGAGAGAAAGTAAGAAAGCAAGATGTCAGATCTGGGACTTGAACCACAGTCGGCTATGTGGGTGTTACAGGAACACAATAGACCAAGACACCAGAATGGATACATAACCTCTAACTTGAGAGAATGGAGTGGCGTACATGATGTAAAATTCCTGTCCACTCTCAGTTTCCATCATCTTAGAATTCTAATCTAGGGCCAGTAAGTGGTGTGGTGTATAAGACGCTGACTCCCACATGGCTGAGCATGGTTCAAATCCCAGACCTGGTGGCTTCTTTCTCACTTTCCCTCTCTCTTTCACTCTCACTCGTGCTCTCTGTCTCTCTCTGGCGAGCGCATGTGCTCTACAGCAAATTAAATAATAATAAGTAACATTAAATACATGATTATTTAAAAATAAGAATTCTATTCTACCTGCAGGTTCTTCTCCTGGGACTAGGAGAAGAAAAGGAAAACTGAGTAATTACAATGCTTTGTGGAATTGTTAACTAAAGAGAGGACCGAGAAAGGCCATCACTTACAAGTCAGGAGTTACTCGGTCCTGGAAAGAATCTGCTGGGATCCAGTTCGAGCCTTTCAGAAATATGGGATATCCATTGATTTTGAAGTAGAAACTCAGACCCGGAGACCCTCTGATGGGCTCTTCTACGAGTTCCACTGTCCTGAAATAAACCTGCCATGGACAGAATTAAATACTGAACAACAAATTAAAAATGGAGGAGAAGACATTGGGGCGAGGTCATGCCCCCAAGATGGTGATCTCTCACTTTCCCTCTTTGTCTGACTTCCACTGAGCGCATGCACCCTACGGTAAAAACCTTTAAAAAAAGAAAGAAAGAGGAGTTGAAAGTTTGTGGGGTTTTTTTAGCATTATATATATATTTTTTGTTTTTATTTATTTCTTTTCTGTAACTTTTTTATTTACTTATTTTTTATATACTTATTCAATCACGTTGTTTAGTTTACGAAGTGAACATTTCAATATGAGAACATTTCTCCCCAGTCCAGTTGAGCAAAACATCTTCAACAGATAACACCACACGTCCCCATCCTGTCAATGCTCTGTCTCTGTATCCCTCCTCCAATGTCCTTCCCAGGTCCCACTCCTCCACACACACCACATCTGGCATTCACACCCACCTCTTTGTTTGTACATCTTTTAGTCAATCAGTTTCAGTCATAGAGTGTGAACACTCGGTATATATTAACTGGGGACATACAATGTCTCTCCTTCATAGCCTGGCTTGCTTCACTCAGCAGTAAATCTTCCATATTCTTCCACTTTCTGTCAAAAGCCAGGGTTTTGTTGGTTTTTATGGCTGAATAGTATTCCATAGAATATATGTGCCACAGTTCTTCAAACCATTCATCTGTACGGGGGCATGAACAGTGCCGCAATAACATGAATGTGCAAGCACTTTTCCAATAAAGAATTCTTCTGCCCTTTGAGTAGACACCAAGGAGTGGGATTGCTGGATCATATGACAGTTCTATTTGAAGATTTTTGAGGAATCTCCAAATTGTTCTCCACAGTGGCTGGACCAATTTACATTCCCACCAGCAGTGTAAGAGAGTTCTCCTTTTCACCACACC